GTTGTTTAAAATATTCATGTAACAAAAAAAATAAAATATTCATGTAACAAATGTGAACCATGTATGTAACTATATGCAATTCATGTAATTTACATGTAATTCATGAAAACAAATATTTGTGTGGGCTTTTATTTTCATTTCTCTTCTGTGCAAATCTATAGCGGAGGTACGGGGTTACATGTTAAAGGTATGTTTAACCTCATACAAAACTCCCAAACTCCTTTTCAAGGTGTACTGTTTTACACTCACCCTGATAATCAGGTGGACTTTAGCTGTCAGTCAACCTCTTTCCATGGCTACATCATTACTTTCTCAATAGGCTCATCCTGAAGGGATGGAGCTATGTATGTACTCTGTAACATTACCGTTTACTCCTGAAGGGAGATTTGGTTACCACTGCTGAATGCCGGACTTGCCAACAGTAGCAACCTAACCCCAACTTCTCATGCAGTATCTCATTAGTTTTCTACTGCTGCATAACAATGACTACAAAATTAGCAGCTTATGACAACACACGTTTATTATTTCACCATTTCTACTGCGCATGAGCCTGAACATGGGTTAGTTGAGTCCTCTGTGTAAGTTCCAGTTGCTTCATACCTCACCAGCATTTCATCATCAGACTTGAAAATAGCCCAGGATTATCCAGTAGAAATACAAAGGAAACCACATAGACAACTACATTAAAACAGTGGAAATAGTTGAACTTTATTTAAAAAAAAAATTTTTTTTTAAAGATTTCGTTTATTTGTCAAAGAAAGAGAGAGCAAGTGCTCAAACAGGGGGAGTGGCAGGCAGAGGGAAAAAGAGGCATCTGGCTGAGCAAGGAGCTGGATGTAGGATTCCATCCCAGAACCTGTAAGCACGTGACTGAGTCACCCAGGCATCCCTGAAGTTTATTTTAATAGTATACTTTAGTTAGCCAAATCTATTTAAATTTATTGTCATTTCAGCATTTAGTCAGAATAAAATTAATGAGATACTTTATCCTTCTTTCATACTAAGTTACCAAAATCTCGCTTGTATTCTTACAGCACAGCTTCATTCAGACTAGTCATATTTCAAGTGCTTAATAGCCACATGTGGCTAGTAGTTGCTGTATTGAGTAACATTAATCATACATATTTTAGTGGGCATACCGTGGTAATTGTGGTTTTAATTTACATTTTCCTGGCAACTAAATGATGTTGAGTATGTTTTCATGTGCTTCTTGGTCATTTGTATATCTTCTTTTGTACAATATCTGTTCCAATGTCCAGCAGTACATGGGATATGCAAACTGTGGCATACTCACACAATGAAAAAGTGCTCAGCAATAACAACGGAAAAAAATAACTACTGATTCATGCAATAACCTGGATGATCTCAAATATTATGCTGAGTGAACACAGCCAGACGCGGAAGAATACACCTGCAGTGATACTGCTCGCACGGAACTTTAGAACAGGCCGACGAATATAGCAAGCAAGCAGATTGGTGGTTATGATAGGGTGCATGAGTGATTGCAGAACTGCGTGAGAAAACTTTGTAGAGTGAGGGGAATGCTTTGTTTCTTGGAGTGGTGATTACATAGATATGTATATTTGCCAAAATTTATTGAACTGTATGTCTAAAATGGGTACTGGATACTGTAGGTAAACTATACTCCAATAGGGTTTTTTTTTGTTTTTTGTTTTTTTGTTTTTAAGGAGTAAAAGCAATACGTGTTAGTCATACCTGCTATGTACTTTGCAGGTGCAGTGCAAAGTAAAACTGTGGGGTCCCTTATTTTAAAAGTATTAAGAATTTCAAGACAGGGACAGCAGAGGGAGTTTGTCTGTTAATCGAATTCCTAGTACTAGATGGTGCACGGCAAATAGAAGCTTCCAGTAAAGTTCTGTTGAATGAATTTAAGATCTCATGCTCAGCAATTTCTATTTGAGAATAGCCTAACACCTTTTCCTACTTATGCTGTTTATTTCATATTCTGAATACAATTTTTTTAAAAAATGCTGGTCATAAGTATGCTAGAGAAGAATACTGAGCAAAGTGGGTTTATTTTTAAATTTTCTAAAGATGTGAAGAAATATAGCACAATCACTAACTTGAAGAGAGAACAATTTGGCTGAGTAGGTGATACCATACAGGGTCATAAAGGAATCTTGTCCTTTCGGTATTCTGTATTGTTAGTCCCAGGCTGACTTATAGTGGCCTTGTTACACCTAATCTGAGTCAAGAAACAAGTAATGGGTATATATAGAGATAAAACAGGCACATATAATTGTGCAATGGTTTGTCTTTTTTAGAAATCAGTTTTAGATCATGTTTCAATTATTACCATTTCTAGTATTTTGTTCCATCATAACTCAGTGTACAAAAGATAAAGCAGAAATTTCATGCTTCGGAGCAGGTAGAATAGTGGTTATAAGTACATATAATCTATACTCTCATAGGCATTTCATTGGGAGTTTGCTCTAGTGCTTTTTAACTGCTAGAATAGTTAACAGAGGCACACGGACTTAAATCACGTGTTATGGATTGAATGTGTCCCCTCCAACCCCCATGTTCATATGCTGGAGCTCTAGCCCCTCAGTATGGCTGGACTGGAGTACGGAAGTAATTAAATGAGGTTAAATGAGATCGTAAATTGGAATCCTGATGATTAGGATTAGTGTCTTTATAAGAGACCAGAGAGCCTGCCTGTTCTCTTGCCTCATGCACGTACAAGAAAAGCCCCTGTGAGGACGCAGTGAGGCCACCATCTGCAAGCCAGGAAGAGTCCTCATCAGAAACTAAAACCTGGGACTTGCAGACTCCAGAACTATGAAAAGAGAGATTTCTCTTAAGCCACCCAGCTTGGGGTATTTTGTTATGGCAGCCTGAGCTAATACAATATGTAATATTCTATAAAATAATAAAAAATATAAAATATGCACAATCTGATTCAAATAAAATGACCAATTTAATCAGTTACATGTGGGAAGCCCTGTAGGGTGATAAAAGTATTTATATGTATGCACGGGTGGCATGAATTTATGGACCCTAAAAATTGGAGAAATTCATAGGGCAAATTATCCCTAAAGGGAATTTATAGTGATTCTACTTCATCACTTACTGTCCTAAACCAAGGGGTATTTTTAAAAATTTTTTAAAAAGGAAAACTGGGGTTTTACATGATTAAAGGTATCCCTTAAATATAAATATCTAAAATGCCTGTCTGGTGGCTGTCACTGTGCCTCTCGTACTATTCAACAACTTATTTTAGGAATGGAAGTATTAAGAGATGAGATGGTAGTGCACTAACAACTGAATAAACAGTTCACTGAAAAAAATGGCCCCCCAAAGTGATTTTGTTATACTTGCTTCATTGTAACTCCGTGTAAAAAAGATAAAGCAGGATTCTCCAGTTTTGGAGCAGGTGGAATGGTAGTTAAACCTGTTTTACTTATTCCACTTAAGCCGAAGTCTTCAAAATAAATTAAGCATGGCTGAGTAGTTGGAAAAGAGAAGTAACTAAAGGAGAAGGACCAAGTGATGATGAGGGGCTAACAAGCAAGACAGTACATTTTGGGGGAAGATGGTGGATTGAAAGAAGTATGGTGGTAATAGGTATTTCCATAGTAATTAAATGCGATATTCTGAGGTGAGACCACTTGGGTTTGAAGTCTTTATGCCAGTTACAAGCTACATAACCTTAATTAGCTTACTTTCCATCTAAACAGAATGATTGTTGGAAAATGGGAAAAGTAATATTCACCATCTTCTATGCCAACAGGGATGATTAGTGGCATAATGTAGAGTAAGCATTTAGCACAGTACCTGCAACATAATAAACATAATAAATGCTGCCTGTGGTATGAATCATATATTCTTCTTTTCAAAAGTGACACTACTAAGGTAATTCTGATTTGTGTGAATTTGGGTACTCTAACTCAAAAATAGGAAAAAATGGGGAAAATGTCATTTTCATATTGGCTTATTGCCAACACCCTCTTTAGACTCTAACCTGCCTTTCTCAGGCATTTGCCTTGAACTCTTTGTTCCAAAATTTATCTAAGGAGTCCAATATGGACGATATAGCTATTTTCCTGATATCCACAGTTAAACCTTATTTGAGGCTATGCATCAATCAATTTTCTATCTTGCCTACTTGTAGTTTTTTCCATTTTGGTTTACCGTATCATAACTGTCAGCATGTCCCACTGTCACACCTTTGTTGAGCTTGTCAGATCCATGTGATAAAACTATGGCTTCAGGGCAAGTACAGATTTCATTCTCACAGGGAAGAAGTTGTATGCTGACATTCTCTTATAAGCCCTCAAAGTTCTGCTTCTCATTTTAAGAAACTCTGCCTTAAACAATCCAACAAAGACATCTGCCAAAAACATTTGGCTCTGAAAAGAGCAAGTCGTTTCGTTGCTCCTGCTGTAGGTGGCAAATAATAGCTGAAGAATCAGAATGAGCAAAAGTAAAATGTCTTGTTGTGAGAACTCTCTCTCGGATAGAGATAGGTATCAGAGGAATTTTAGAAAATTCCTAAGCCAAAGAAATATAGCTGGGAACTGCTCCTAAAATGTCCAGGAAAGGTGTGTAGGGCACAGTAAATAGCAGGCCCTTAGTTGGTATTTTATGAATTAAAAATCATGGTACTACTATGCTGCTGCAGAGAATGTTAAATTATTTCTTTTTAGCACTTTCCTGCAATCCTAGGGTAGTATGTCATACACATGTTGATGAGATCACAAAATGGTATTTCATCTTGTGGCACCATCTGATTTTAAGTGTTTTCGCATGCAAGTGTTCCCTGTTCATTTTTGAACAATGTTGGTTTTTCTTGCTATTAATAGTTGGAATTCTATTTAAGGCCCCTGAAGAAGACAAGACTATTAAGGGGAAAATGATTGTCAGAGACTTGTTGCTTAGGTCATCCAGATGTATACTTACAGATTACATGTTACAGATAAGAGAAAATTCTGTTTCTTCTCAGATTTTAGTTCAGAATTAATATATATATATATATTTTAAAGGTCTTTTATGTAAAAGTTTATATTGCTTTAGAAAACATACAAATTCCAAATGCAAGGTCCTATTTCATTTTCAACGACTTTATTGAGAACATCTTGCAAATTAGATTTTACAATTAGCATTTTACAATTAGAAATTTTATCTGCTACTACATAAGTTGCAAACTTTTCAAAACACTACAGAAAATCCTTTATTTCTTTGGATTTTTCTGTTCCATGCTGAGCTCCTGAGATATATTTTTTCTTTCAGCTTCATTTTCATCTTCCTGTGAAATAAATTTTAAAAAACATTAAAACATAAAACATTAAAACATAAACTTTCGGGCATTTTATCAGCTATACTTAATACATTTTAATTCTGTTCCCCGAAGAATTAACTATTGTGATTCTGGTAATCCGGAAAAAAAGCTAGAAACAAAATGATAAAATTATGTAACATTTAAATATTTACAGTGGGTGTTCTTTTACACTACACACTGACTAAAATTTTCTGTATGTTTTTAAAAGCAACTTATTAATGACCTAAAAATTACTTTTGAAAACACCTGCTCATAAAAAGTGTCCCTTTTAGGAGGTGAATCAGGTATTTTTACTTCACTGCTTGATAAAAATAAATTTAACTTCTGAGACACTTTATGTCCTCCAGCATGGCAGTTCTGTCTCATCTAGCATACTTTCTTGACACGTCTGCCAATTTTCCAATTACTTGTGCCACCATATGTTATCTGAAGATCAGTCAGCTCTAAAATAGGAAACATGGTCATGTCAGGCTAGCGAATGCTTACAGTCTTCTACAGTTTCAATTCGAAGTGGTGGCTTCATAATTCACAGCAGGTTTCTGTGGAACATGGTGAGTAAATGAAGTGACTTCATAATGTCGGTCTCCACAGGAATGAGGTACATCTTGTGTTCAATATTAAATGGTGACCTCCAAAGTATAAATAATGAAGAGTCTGGAAAAATATTTCATCTTACACTTTGTAACCCATTTCATCATCTATGTTCCTTCAACAATACCAAGTCTAAAGCAGTCTTGCGTTCCTAATATTTCTAGTATTTGTTAAGTAAGATCTTTTGTTTTTATTAATTGAAGTTAAGAAGCATTGTCTCTTCTATTGAATTAAAGCATGAGTAGCAATTTTTTTAATTTATTTTTTAAGATTTTATTTATTTATTTGACAGAGAGAGATCACAAGTAGGCAGAGAGGCAGGCAGAGAGATAGAGAGGGAAGCAGGCTCCCTGCTGAGCAGAGATCTCGAGGCGGGGCTTGATCCCAGGACCCTGAGATCATGACCTGAGCTGAAGGCAGCAGCTTAACCCACTGAGCCACCCAGGGCCCCTGAGTAGCAATTTCTTAAGTATCTCTAGACAACAATAATATCAGTATCATCTATTTCTGAATCATATAAAACCCAATTCAACTCAATTAAGTAGTTGTTGAGCTCTATTTAGTAAATTAACATTATTAAGTAAATGCAAATCGAGACATAAATGTTTGTTTCCCTGAAAAACCACATCCTTGCCTCTGAACGTTAGGGTGGAGAAAGCTTCCTTTATATACTTTGTCTCTCTCAAAACTCATCGGCATCTGTGATTTAGAGTCTGTCAACACCAGAAAAGTGGAGAAGTCACCAATATTACTATCCAACTTGGACCATTTATAGATATATGGCATAGAAGAGATGGGGTTTTGAATATTATTTTGGCAATGTGATTTTAATATATTTTTTAACTATAATAGCCACTGTATGTTGTTTAACTTTTTTTCCAATTTATCTCTATTGAACAGAGATACTATGTTTGATTGACTCTTGAACAAGTAGTTTTCACTTTTGACAAGTTTCCAGAGATTATATTTTTATTAGATCCTAATAAAAAGCAAATCTTGCTCTATACTTTCCACTGTCTTCTTCGGGTGAGACATTGACAGGAAGTGTTAAATCAGCAGGTAAGGGTGGCAAGAAAGTTTTTGATAGGTAGCACTGAATTTAGCTATATGTTCCTCAGGGCAGGGCTTTCTTTTTTTTAGATTATACTCTTATTGTCAACAATGCACATTTAGTATATAGTTGGAGTACAATAAATGTTTTCTGAATTATGTGAAACAGTGGAATAAAAAATAAGAGAAGTCTGCCTAAACTAATGTAACTTGGAAAAGCGTAATATTCTTCCTTATCCAACAGTCACACTTCTAAAAATCTTAAACTTACCAGGGCAATACCAAAAACAAAAATAAGCAAAAATGTTTGAAGCAACATTAGCCAAAACAGCCATTATCAAGCTCATGTCCTCTTTTTTTTTTTAAGCTCATATCCTTTAATTTGAAGGACAGGATTGGAACCTTTATTTTGTGGACAGTCTTAAGTTCCCACACTGATATGACATACTGGTTTAATGAGCTCGGTTATCTCAATTTCCCTAGTAGCCTTCAGTAGTGCTCTAAGTCAAAATGGAAATGTAAAGGCTTAATAATAACCCTGAGGACTAGGAATTATCTATAAACTTTCTTTCATATTTGACTAAAATTCTTGTAATGCTAGTCTTCTTGCTGAATTTTTCTTAGTAATAAAGTATATACAGTTGACTCTTGAAAAACACAGGTTTGAACTTTGCAGGTCCACTTATACACAGATTTTTTTCAATAAATACAGTATAGTACTATAAATGTATTTTCTCAACATCTCTTCTCTAGCTTATTTTATTGTAAGAATATAGTATATTATACATGTAACAAAATAGATATTAATCAACTCTTTATGTTATCACTAAGGGTTCTGGTCAATGGTAGGTCATGTAAGTTAAATTTTCGGTGAGTCAGAAGTCACATGCAGGTAGGTTGTTACCAGCCTGAACCCCACTGCATTATTCAAGGGTCAACTACAGTTTATAAATGTGTGTCTCTTCTAACATTGCCTCCTGTTCAGGACAGGTGAAGAACTGTTCCACATTTTTCTTTATGCTGAGGATGTCTTACAATATCTTGCCTTTCTATGCTTTTAAACCATTTCCATAGGTAACAAGATCCAATCTCTTTTTTTCCATTGTACAAGGGTAACTGTGATTTAGATGAAGAAAAGGATTATGAAGGGGAAGAAAAGGCATTTTTAACCCTAGCTGTTAGAGTATAACACACTGTAATTGCCATAGTAGAATATCATCAGAATAATGAAAATAACAGTAACAGATTTTATCATTATAAATAAAAACATTAGAATTAGCCACAGTAAAGGTCCAGAAAGGATTTTAGAGGTTGCTTTGCTGTTTTTTGGGTTTTGTTGTTGTTTTTTGGAAGTGCTCATTTGTGTTTCTAACATTACAGGTCAATTTGTATAAGAACTTTATAAGCAATTAAGATTAATAAAATCATTAAAATAGCTCAGGCAGCAAATGAAATATCATTGACAAATGATTGCATAATGAATGAAACTGCAAAGAAAGGAAGATTTTGTCCAAGTATTTCTTCACTACTAGATATTAATGGCAGGCAAAATTTTCTTCTAAGTGGAAGGTTTTTGTTACTCTTTGCTGAGATAAGACATCTGTTTGTTTCCCAGTGAAAGAAACCCTTGCTACACGGATCATTTTCTTAGTGACAGTCCTGACAATTTTGACATTTGTTTCATGAAGTGTTCTGAAGCAGCCAGCAAGAAAATATACCCTTTGGGGCCACTGGAAAGTGTAGTCAGGTTTACCTCTTAACTTTGAAGCTTGTTAATTCATACTCCAGAAAACATGTTTCTAACAATCTTGCAGACCTGCTAGTTACATGTGGAATTTCAAGAATACCCATTCACAGAACAACAACTACTCATAATGCCAAATAATTAAGGTGGTTCTTTAGCCTTCAGGCTCTTTTGGCACTGACTACATTGTTGTAGTAAGGAGAATGATCATTTCTAGGCATATATAGACTCTATTTATATATAGACATATATTATTTATATAGACATATTATGGTCTAATGCTCCAGGTGGCAATGTAAGACTGAAAGAGTTATTCCTACAGAGAAATCAGTAAAATCACTGCCATTCTTATTTGAACTAAATCCCTCTTATCACTGAATAAAACTTGCAAGATTTTGTTTAAATGCTATTCAAGCTTCCACCTTCAATTGAAACAGAGGTGCCCTTGACTTTCCTTATTTACAAAATTGCCTTGGTTTTCATAATAGTTCAAAGAATTGATGCCAGTTAATCAAACCTACCCATCCTGCTTTCCCTTTCTCTTAGGAGATAACTCCAAATAAATGGCAATTATTTTAGCAGCTGGAATTTCTACTGCTTAGGTGATATTTGGACTCAAATTAGTCAGAGTACAGATGACTCTGTCTTCACCCTAGAGACAGCCGAACTGTAAATTCTCTTAAAGTAGTGTTATACAAGAGGACAACTTTCCCCATTGATTCTTTATCTTTAAAGATGACTGTATGAGTACCTTTATAGTGCAGAGACCTGTCAGCACCATACCCCCAAGTGATCAAGGTTAACATCACCAGTGAAACAAACATATTAACACTAAACTTTTGCTATGATATACTAAAAAGGACACAACTCTGGACTATGGTGTCTTTCCTAAAAATGCATAACTTCAATCTAATCATGAAAAAATATCAGATAAACACTATAAAATAATCGAACAGTAGTTTTCAAAACTGGCAATTTCATGAAAGAAAATACAAAGATTTTACAATTGCAGATGGGAGAAGACTAAGGGAACACGATGACTAAAGACAGTGCTGGGATTCTGCACCATAAAAAGGATATTAGTGGGAAAACTGGCAAAATTAAATACGGTCTATGCAGTAGTAAAGAGTACTGTCTTGATGTTAATTTCCTGGTTATAACAGTTGGTAACACTATAGCAAGCTGGATGCAGGGCAAATGGCAATTATCTGTGTGATTTCTGCAACTTTTCGCTAAGTCTAAAGTTATTTCAAAATAAGATTTAAAAACTGCAACTTAATGAAGGTTTTCTAAATCAAAAACAAGTATCATGTTTGTGCAAAGGTTTTATGTGGAAAAAAAATTCAAGGCACTTATAGCTGCCTACACTGAAAATACACAGCTCAAGTTTGCTTTTCATTATTCTACTTAAGATTCCTTTTGTAAGTATCTCTAATGTTCAAAATGGTGATGTTCTTAATTTTTATTCCCTTGTTTGTGTTTTCCTGTGTTTTCCTTTTCCACTCTGAGCATGGATTACTTTTATAAACACAGAACATAAGCTTTCTTTTAATAAATCCCTTTATAACCTGGCCATTTGAAC